CTGCCAAATGCAGGGCTGTCTCACCGGCTGCTGTTGTGGCTTCCTTGGGCGAACCACTTGAAGGAGGGCGTGGCTGGCGTTCACACCATGCACGAATTTGACTTCCCATTGCTGCTAGCAATCCACTGACACACATCTTGACTAGACGTCGGCTGGCCTTCTTTTGAGGCTGGACGGTTGCAACTGCAATCCTCTTTGCATTCCAAGAAAGCCAATCAGTCTCTCTGTCGCTGCGCTGCAAGCTCTTGGAGTTCTGCTGAGGAGGAGATGAACGGTTTCTTTTCTCACAAGACCACAGACCGACATGAAGTTGCTCGGTCTCTGGCGACACAATGATTCCTTTCACACCTTTCAGAATTGAAGACTGGCCATGGCGAGTATTTCCTGCGGAATGGACCAGGAATCCAAGCAACATCATATTAATGATAAAACGTGTCCAACGTCCTGCAACAACCATGGGAGCTGCACCGGAAGAAACGCATGGAGAGCGTTCCTTCGCTTCAATTCCCGGAGATCTTCGGTTCTCTAAAGTGGAAGGGCCATTAAAGGGTTTGTCTGAGCTGGAAGAGCTCGGCTCCATGACGGCACAGGAGGGGGGTTCGGGCGGATGCACCATGACTGGGGGCCAATTCCGTGAGACGAAAGGGCGTTCCTGACTTCCCTGACTTCCCTTCCGGTATTCTGGGCATTCCTGAGCCTGTTCTTGGACAATCTCTAGTGGCCTGGCAGGGGCCATGGGTTCAGCCTGCGTCACCCCGGCCGCTGGACGAATACTTGAGCTTTGGGACAGGTTCTCCAGCTGTTGTGCCCACCTCATCTCAAATCTGGCAACTGGTGCAGGGGCAACATGCTCCTCACTTTGCAATTCCTGCACCATGTCCCCATGGATTCCACGCCCCATCGCAGATACAAACGTGGAATCCATGACATGCGAGGATGTTTCCGACTCAGCGATCTCGGACCTGCCCTCAAATGGGTCCGGGGCCATCAACTGCTCTCGTTCCATGGTTGTGAGCAATTCCTGAGCAACTTCATCGGAGATTCCGAGCTGGCGGCAAATAGCTGTCAGTTGAGCCTTACGATTTCCATCTCTGGTCATTGCAGTGTGGGCAAAGGATCCAGACATCGCATCTTCACTTCTGATCTCGCTGCTCTCGAGGTTCACGAAGGTGGGTGGAATGGGATCTTCCATCTGTCTGCGATCGGCCTGCGAAACCGTGATTTGCACTGTGTGCCGATGATGGCCTTCAATGCAGCGTGCTTGTTGGCAAATGCTTCGGAGCACATAGTTGCTTCTCTCACCTCAGAGCAGCAAAAAGGATCAATTCTGAGAGTTTCTCTGCTAGCAAAACTGAAATTCCTCTTGGATAGATCGACCTGAGTAAACGTTTGGTGTCCTGCAAAGCCATGTGCTTGTTTTGCTGGCCAAAGCTGCCAGGAAGCGGGGGTGAAGTGCGAGAAAAGTCGCCATTGTTCTGGCAATACTTTGCCAACTCTTTGAGTTCCATAGTAGACAACTATGCAATATTATACAAGGGTGGACGTAGCCAGGCTTCTAAGACACAGGTTTTGTTTAGTGAAAGTTACTTCACTCCTAAAGCTACAATCCACACGTTACTACTCGTAGGACTGCCGTGGATATATGAGGAGGCAACCCATATATATATATATATTATATCTATTGGTCTATACGAAGGTTCTATGACCACACAGCCAATTTGTGTTTGTTGCCGCCTTTCGCATCGGAAAAGAACATCAGTAAAACCCGCTTGGGGGACGTGCCGCTTGTTGTTCATCCCCTGGCGACGTGATACATGCACTTTCCCTGCTTGTTCCTACTTTGGAGTGTCTCCCTCTCCAAGAAAAGCATTGGACTGCCTGATGACTACAAGTAAGCGTCCCACATGTTGTATTGTCCATGTCAACCTGGGAGGAAGAATCCCCTCCTGCAAGAATCGCCGTTGACTAGTACATTCATTAGATGGCAACCTTGAGATGGTGTTGTGCTTCTTGTTCTGTTGAAGGAGTTGAGCTTGTGCAATTCAAATCTTTGGGATTTCCTACATTTATGTGAGTGTGACTGACAATCAGCAAAAAAAGGTCTTCCAAAGGCAACTCGAGGTGACTCAAGTTTGCCAGGGCTCTTCTCAAATTTATGTATGCTGCCTGCAGAGTGACCTCACCCGTCACATCGGCAGCGGGACCTTCAAGCCTCCACGGCTGATTTTTGAGGAGTGGCTTTACCCAGAGTAGGATATTCCGAGCAAACGCTTCTTGCTGTTCTTCAATGGTCACATCTGCATTCTCTTCATCTATCTCTGGATCATCAGCAAAGACATTAGCATGTCGATCCACAAAGGCTTTCACACGTTGCACCTGTGCTGTCCACCATCTAGCCTCCACACGCTCTTTGGCGGATCGGCTGGCCACCCTCAGAGATGAGGTGAGTCGAAGATCGGCCGGAACGAGTGCGAGCACCTTTGGCAGCACATCGGCCGGCAACGCCATACAATGGGGCGCTGGCCAAACAATCTGACAAACACTAAGAAATAAGTCAAGTGCTGGAAACTTGGAAACTGCAAACATATCCATTGTGCCATTGGCAATTTTAATATTATGTAGTCTATCATGAATCATCATCCTGAGGCTAAGCCTGAGTATATTCAAACAAACACATAGAGCATCATGAAGCTTTGACTGTGCCAACACCCCTTGAACCAAACATGGCAAACCGCCGCATGGCTGGAACAACCCATTTTCGTGAACCTGGAGCGGGCTCGGTGACGTCTTGTCCAACACAACTGAGAGCTGGGGTCGCATGAGCAAGAACTATCGCCGCTGGAGCATGGAAGCTAGGTACATCAATCTGGGTGATTAAATCAAAAGATAAGAACGCATATAAATGCATCATCATAATCCATGATGACAAGTGATGATCGTTATCCAGAACCCTCAACAGGATCGGATCCTTGACGGATCTATCCAACTGGATCCAGGCTGCCAAGAGGAATCACATGGATTGGAATGACCACACTCGTTAATATCTCGTGTCTGAACTGCGGTAGCAGGAAGTGTTGCTCCTGTTGGGAACCAAGGCATCCTAGAGTTGAGTTGAGAAAATCGAATGAACAAAAACATTGGCCACTGGTGTTCATCTCACTGGATAACTGGAGTGCTGTTGCATGCTGTTGCCTACCCTGCAACTAACATCAAAGTTGGCAATAAAGGCAATAGATGCATGTAATTGGTCTGCAAGCGTGCAAATAGTTTTGAACGTGAATTTAACATGCATTTCCAGAATCTTCAGCAAATCCATTGAGATCCACCCATCTAGCCGACTTGCTTGTCAGAACGGCTTCTCCTTGGGAGTCTTCTGACACCTCATCCTCATCCTCAAGATCCTGCTGCTTCGCGGCAAAGCAGCCCCACTGCTCGGTTTCAAGGACAAATTTGACACATTGTCTCTGTGTGTGTGCGTGTGTGTGTGTGTGTCCACTCCTGTTTCCAAGGACACTACCCTAGTTCTCGTT